TGATGAATCCAAAATTTGAGTATTTTTCTATGTTATGTTCATGTTTATGTTCATAAACTTTTTATTTAATAAAATATGTTTTCATAGTTTGTGTTGTCCCTTATTATCAATGCAAAATGGTCACTAACTAAAGAGGATTTATGCTGATATTGCCCAAAAACCCTATTTTGTTCAGGCGTTTCCAAACTTTTGGAATATACTAATATATGTATGTATGTGTGTGTATATATATATGTATATATATATATATAGTACATTCTATGCTGTCATTTGTAGGTTTTGCAAAATTCTTTAAACCTGTGATACACTGTATTTCCGACATTTTAGGAGTGGTGGGAAGAGAACAAAACACACTGACTTGAGTAAAAGTACTGCTAATGTAACAATTTACTGAGCATTACCTATAGACTGTAGCAGTACTTAGATATGTTCAACACGACAGGCTACCAAACGGGCAAGTACTATAGTTTCTCAAAAAAAAATACTGTTACAGTGAACCATGTCGAGTACTGTAATGAGAGTACATGTAGTTCGTTCCTTTCCACCTCTGCGTTTTACTATCTTATTGTGAGAGGGTTATGGAAGGCACAATAGTAGTTTATTAATAAATATTCCTTTATTAGAAAATAGTAAATGATCACTGTGATGACCCTGTGTAGGATAAATGGTATGGAAAATGGATGGATGCCTGCCGTGTTCATAAAATATCCATTCCCCTCCATTCTCTGTACCATGTATCCTACACAGGGTTGTAGGGTAGCCTGGAGTCTATCCCAGGGGACAAGGCAGAGTGCCAACCCATTGCAATCAGCCTATGACATATGTCTTTGGACTGGGGAGGAAACCAAGTAGCCAGAATACCTGGAGGAAACTCCTGAAGCACGGGGAGAGCAAGCAAGCGCACACAGAGCGCAGGTGGGATTCGAACCCCCAACCCCCGCGCTGTGAGGCAAACTTGCTAACCATTAAGCCACTGTGCTCCCCTGTTCACATGTATGAAAATGTTATTGCATGATCACCAGATTGCTTGCAGTTCAGGGTAAATTTGGTCTCCAACAGTTTGGGATGTTTTTGTGCATTTAGTCTTTATTCTGTGTTCTGTGTATGTGTGTTTGTGTATTAGCAAAGAAAAAGTAATAAGGAAACAACGTGCAAACTGCTGAAAACTTCTAGTGCTCTCTGTTATCTATCTCCGCACTGCTGGTAATGGCAATGCATTAACAGCATAAAACCACAGGTGCGGATCCAGCACATTCCTTCTGTTGCTTTCTCATTCCATAGAACTTCATAGTTTTTACAGTTTTCTTATCTATCTCATAATATTATTGGCCTTTTCAGTATTTGTATTGGAGAAGGCTGAATAAACCCTCTAACCGACTGCTGAAAGTGTTATTGTGTGACCTGCTTTAGATGCTGCAGATAAAAGGTTCTGTGTTTGGATGAATCACCGCAAAAACACATAAATCCAAGATGCACAAGTCCAGGCTGATTTGTGTGATTTTGCAATCTTTTATTATGAGCAGTGCAGCTTTATCAGCAGGGTTTTATTCATTCTAAAGGCATATGACTATGATACGGGGCAATATAACCATAATATGATATTTTGTCCTCTCATACACAGTCCCCATCACAAACTGGGAAGTGAAGAATGGAATGCAGGCAGAAATCCAACATAGACAGAGATAAAACAAGGAGGTGGAGACAGAGGGACAGAGAGAGAGAGAGAGAAAGTTTATAAGACACTGAGTCAAGAGAGCGGGAGAGGAGGAGGAGGGCAAAAGAGTCGAGAGGAGAGAGGAATGTCAGCAGAGGAATTTCCAAGAGCTTTTGCTTGAAAATAAAAGATGTGATGGGGAGAATAAAGAGAGATGCGCACACACACACACACGCACACACCAGCAGCACAAATACGTCCTGACAAGCCAAACATGCACTTCCTGTACCTTGGATAACGGAAAACAGGCTCTTCTCTTGAGGTGCAGCTTTTCCTAGCCCTGTTTCCACATACAGTCCCTGTCCTGACAGACAGACACTTGCCCCTGACTCCAGAGCTGAGGGTGATGGAAAGTTAAAGAGAATCAGACACAATGTTTGGCTTGTTTTTAAATGCTTAACTTGTGCTGCATTCTGTAGACAAAAGCTTGGAATTTAAGTAAACATTTCCCTAGGTATTTGTATCTCTGTAGGGTGAAAGCATTGGGTTTAACTGAATATTTGAAAATTCAACAATATCAGTACTGGAGTTTCATGCATAGTGTCCATGCTACATTTGGATTCCGGGAATTTTTGGGTCCCCCCTCGTATATGGATAGCCCTAAGTCCGCACTTATGGATAGTATATGGATAGCCCTAAGTCCGCACTTACGGGTAGCATATGGATAGCCCTAAGTCTGCACTTATGGATAGCATATGGATAGCCCTAAGTCTGCACTTATGGATAGCATATGGATAGCCCTAAGTCCGCACTTACGGATAGCATATGGATAGCCCTAAGTCCGCACTTACGGATAGCATATGGATAGCCCTAAGTCCGCACTTACGGATAGCATATGGATAGCCCTAAGTCCGCACTTACGGATAGTATATGGATAGCCCTAAGTCCGCACTAATGGACAGTATATGGATAGCCCTAAGTCCGCACTAATGGACAGTATATGGATAGCCCTAAGTCTGCACTTATGGATAGTATATGGATAGCCCTAAGTCCGCACTAATGGACAGTATATGGATAGCCCTAAGTCCGCACTTATGGATAGCCTCTGGTACTTTACAGACTTTCTACACAAAAATCCATATTAAATAAAAAGAATACTTTTGTGCCAAATTTTTTTTTATTTTTATTTTTTAAACTATTTTTTTTTATTGAAGAGCTTTTTTTTTTTTTTAACTCTGAAACAGACCTGAACGTGTCAGGAATATGGCTACATTTTCATTTTGGTCATCAACAATAAATATTTAAACCTAATGTTAACAATTTTTGTTTATAAACACAGATTTTTTTTTCAGGGTATACTCTTTTATTTATTTATTTATTTATTTTACTCATGGTATTTCTACATGTGGACAATCCAATCCATTTACTTTTTTAATACAAGTGATATACAGTCCAAATTCATGATGAAATGCATGAAAGATGAATTAGTTTGGCACAACAGCACAACTTGCAAGATTGAGCACCTGAAGAGGAAATATGCCAGTGTCAGGGCCTCTGAGAGCTACGCAAGGGAAGCTGACTAGCATTAGTGTATCCAGTAGTAAAACAAAGTTTAACCCTATTGTAAGAGGCAAAACTGCGTGTTACTGTTTCTGACTTTAGTTTTATTTAAAGCTACAATAACTGTCTTAACAGCAGGTGCAATTCACAAAACTTTCATATGGTCCGTTACTTAAATGCGAGTGAATGAGCGCATGCTTGCTTGTGCGCTGCAGCAGTAGAAAACATGGCATAGTTTACTGAGACTGCAGAGTTTGACACGCGCTCTGGTATAAATAGGAGCCTTGTTTATTATTCATCCTGATTGTTTGTTTTTTTTTCATTCCCCATTTATCATTCACGCCACAAAATTAATTCCTGAGCTTTTCTTATCTTTTCAGTAAATTCTAAAAAGTAAATAATTTATAGCTGCAGTCCTACCGACCATGCCCACTCTTCCAATTTATTCTGATATTCTTGATATTCTCTTGTGATAACACTATGAGACTAAGTTTTGTCAGAGTGCGTTCTAATGAATGACCGCACACAGACGCAACAAAGCCTAAAGGGAGGAAAGAAGAAACGAAAAGGAAGGAAGAATGTCACAGGAACTGAAACACAACAGGAGGCATCTTTTATAATGTGTTTGCTGAGAAACAGCAGGTCACTGGTCAGGTGGGAATGTTCTGTGCACTTTTCGGCACATCGGACACTTGTAAATGTTTTGCAGAAGAGTTGAGAACCACATCCTGTAAGCATTTTTTGCCTAGAAATGCAGCCTGAACTTCTTTAACTGTTATGCCTAGAGGGCAGTGTTGAACTCCCAGCTTTTCCTCTGTCCACACACTATACTCCAAAATGGTAGCCTACGTTTTTCTTGAAATTCATATGATGAATATCACATGATGTACTATAGAGTATACTATTCTTACACTATACACTAAAAGAGGGTTCCTTGAGGTTTCTTATGATGGTTGATGGTTCTATATTTCTACCTGAAACATGGCGTGAAAGGGAAACCTGTATTGCATAGATAAACATGGGACCTTCAAGGCTTGCCATTAGGGACAAGCCAAAGAATCCTTAGCTTTAGAGATTTTTAAGAGTTTTTTTTAGTAGTTTTAGTTGTTAAACTTGTTGCACTACACAGAAATGACAAAATTACCTTCTCAAAAATAACCACAGATTTAAAAATCCAAAATGTCCAGTTAAGAAATCTTTCCCCATTTTGTGGCTTTAGTGTTTGCAAAGTATGCAATGTGACATGGGTACAATTCTATTCCCCAGAATCACACCTTCAGTGGCCTCCAATAGTCTCAATTTGACATTTTATACTGCTGTAAGTTTCTGTTTAATTGAAGTGTAAGTGTTTTACAAAGGGGTTAGGATAGGTGCTGTTAGATAAATGGTGAAGTTAGAAGTAGAGCTGGTTACTCACCAGCGTTAAAAACAGGAAACTAACAGAATCTTCACTGAGTTGTTGCAGCAGAATGTAACATGCGGCTCAAGAAGACAGGACACAAGTGCATAAAATCAGCTTGATTATTTTGGGCAATATGTGAATCATTATCAGAGCACATAGTGGGGGTTAGAACACAGGCAGAAAACATTAGCTCATCCATATTCAAGGAACGGGAAAACGTGAGACTCGGAACCATGAACTACAACTGGAAAACACAGAACCTCAAACAGGCAAAACAAGGTTCAGTAACACACATTAACAGTGACAAGACTTCGCGAAGAAACAAAGACACACAAGTGTATAAGTAGACAAACTAATCAGAAAACTACTACAGAGTAGGTGCACACTATCGAGTAATAAGCAAATGACAAAGCCAGGGGTTGGAGACAGGATCAATGCAGAAACCAGCACAAACCTGAGCACATGGAGGTTGTCACCATGGGAACTGTGATGCGAAGGGGGAAACTATGACATGGAAAATATTTTGAGATTCTGCGTTCTCAGATAAATGGGAAACCTCACTGAGAGAGTACTCGGGCATCAGGATCCTAGGAACATTCCTTAATAAAGAATTCTGGGAACCTCAGGGCTCTAAGAACAGTACCTAGCACAGATCCCAGGATTCCGTGGACTGGAACACTCTGGAAGGACCCTGTGATCACTGGAAGGGCACTGGAAATTTGGACCACAGCAACTCAAGGATTCCAGAAACTGTATCTTTAAGTACTGTAAGATCATTTTTTTTAGTTTCAGTGCATCTTATATGATACCCTGAATGTTCTTGTCTCTGAACAGCACTTTTAGTGACTGTTCCTACACTGGAGATAAAGCTGGCTACTTATCTGTGTGTTTATCTCTGCACAAATGGTGCTTTCGTCTCAGCAAGTCTTAATGCAGGTCCCAAAAGCTTTTACCGAATTCAACTCCATTAAGGTCAGTGTAAATGTCGCATACTTTGTTTCCCGGTGGGATTGTTTGAACCGTTACACTGCATGAGTGCTTCCTGTCATTAGACTCTTTAGATAAGACAGGGGCAGTGTGGGCGTTGGACGGACGTGCCCATTTTTGCCGATCTGAGACCACTTTTTTTAACGTGGATACGAGATCAGCTAGCTTTGGCTTGAAGCCGAGTAGACTGAATTGTAAGGCACGTCCACAAGAGCTAAGCAGATACACACACACTCACACCTTGCTAATGTGAAAACCTATAGGCACCATTAAAGCAAAAAGTACCAGATCTAATCCTGATCTCAGCAGTTCCATTAGTCAGAACAGCTCAAAAATCTTTGGCCATTGGTATTTGTACACAAACAGCTGCCATGAAA